CGCCTCCTTCTCTGAGGATGGACACTCACTTCCTTTCCCTCTCTGAGGATGGACACTCGCCTCCTTCCCTGAGGATGGACACTCACCTCCTTTCCTCTCTGAAGACCCAAGATCACAGGCCAAGGGCCTCCCCGCAGCTCATTTGTCCAGTTCATGCCCTGCTGATGCCCGAGGGCAGCGCCGGCCTTCCGGGCTCCTCCCCCCGCCCACCCAAGCTGCTCAGCACGACTGGCAGCCCAGGCCCTGACCCAAACACAGGACCCCCAGCGTGCCCCCCCCCCGGGCTGCCACTCCACCCCAGGACGGCCCCATGCTTCAGAGGGTGTGGCCATCCGACAGCGCCCACCTAGGGATGGAGCCCAAATCAGCATCTTGGCCTCACAGCCCAAAGCCCACGCTAAAGCGACACTCTTGCAGAACCTCTTCCCTTGTCCCCCCCTCTGGTCCCTTCTAGCTCTCGTGACCTTCCTGTGCCCCCGGAAGGACCGAAGGAACCTGATTAGGAGTCAACAACCAGTCAGAAGGTGATGGGGCCCAGCCACTAGGGTGTCACTGTCCAAACATGTAATTAAATTAAGGACAACCAGTCACAGCACCCAGGGCATGAACACTACCCGGGAAGAGCTGGGGACAGGGCCAGCAGCCGTGCCACCGCGGGCTTCCACCAGGGCTGCGTGGGCTCTGCCACTGATTGCAACACGAAAAGTCCCTTCTGTGTCACTAGGGCAAAGGGCAACGGTCCCCAGGTTGCACCAGGCCCACTGTCTGGTCCCGCTCCACTCAGGCCTGGACACGGACACCGCGAGGCCCGAGCCCTGCGTCAGGCCACCCACAGCCACTCACAGCTCACACTGGGCAGTCGGGGCTCAAGGCCCAAGCCACAAAGGACACGGCCTGAGCAGCTCCAGACAGGACCTGGGCCCCAGACCCTAGTAGCAGGAGCCTCCCACGGCCTCAGGAGAGGAGAAAGACTTAGGGGCAGAGAGACAGGAGGTCAGAGGCTGGGGGAGAAGGGAGGGTACCTCTGCCTTCACAGTAGGCCTGAGGTAGGTTTAGACAAGATACAGAACCACAGCAAAACTGAGCTATTAAGTTGAGAATAGTACTCAGGAGGTTGAGATCCGAGGATCATAGTTCGAAGCCAGGTAGGGCAGGAAAGTCTGTGAGACACTTAGCTCCAATAAACTACTCACAAAAAGCTGGAAGTGGAGCTGTAACTCAAATGATAGAGGGCTCGCCTTTAGCACAAACAGGCTTAGGGACAGCACCCAGGCCTTAAATTCAAGCCCCAGGACTGGCAAGAAGAGGAAAGAATACACTTTTATGTCATTGCCCACAAAAGAAATGTACTCATTACCTGTCTAATGAGGTTATACAATACCTTAATAACAATAAAATTATATTTTAAAAATTGCAATGGCCTGAGAGCAGTGTCTAAGGTGAGAACAATTCTTCTCGCCTTTGCTCAGGTTGTATGCAAGGGTAAGGAGGCTGAAGAGGCCAGGACCCCGCAGGGGAGCCCTGTGAGGACTTCTCTGGCTATCTTGGTTACAGTGTTCAGAGACTGGTGGCAGTCCAGGAATATTATCCAATCAACTTTATCTCAGAGTGCAGTGTCAGGGCCTTGGTCTTTGTTTTGTCAAGTTAAAGATCTATTACTGCCAGGCCCTGGTGGCTCCCACCTGTAACCCTAGCTCCTCCAGAAGCTGAGATCTGAGGATCATGGTTTGAAACCAGCATGGGCATGAGACTCTCTTCAATTAACCACTTGAAAACTGGAAGTGTAGCTGTGGCTCAAAGTTCCCACCCCCTCCCCTGTCATCTTAGGCTTGAGTAAGAGCCTTCGTTCCTAGCTGCTCTGGAGGCTGAGATCCAAGGATCCACCTTGGAAGCCAGCATAAGCAGACAAATTGGAGAGACTCTTACTTCCAATTCACCAGCAAAAAGCCGGAAGTGTGGCTCAAGTGGTAAAGTGCCAGCCTTGAGCAAAAAAATCTCAGCAAGACAACACAGACACACACACCTTAGCTGATCTTTGGGTCGACTCAGGGGCATCTGGCCATGTTGCATTTACCTTGTTGGGATATTTTGGTCACCCACGGTTGCAAGGATAAGTGGTAATGCTTTTCTGTGGTTGGCCACCAGCTATTCAGCCTTCTTCCTCTCTCAAGGACAGGAGGCCTTAGAGAACCCCTCATTCTCCATTTCCAGAGCATGCCTGTCCCTTGGCTAGCTGAGGGGCTGCTGGACCAGCCGTGGGCTCACCACTGCCATAGTCCTCGGGAGGAAGGAACAGAGAGCGTGGAGCAGCAGGCGAGAGGCTGGAGGCTGCTGGGTCAGAGTTCTGCTGGCCTCAGCTTCCCTCTGCTCCCCCAGGACAGCTCCGCTGCAGAGGGCATCATGGCTCAGCTGGAAGGGGAAGGCCGACCCACTCAGGACCGCTGACTTTTCCAGCCTGAAGGTAGAGCTCTGAAGGCCGCAGAGGAGAGTCCCACGGGTCATCCAACCCCTCTCCCAGGGTAGGAAGGGGAAGAGATAAGGTAGGAAGTGGCGAGGGCGGTCTCTAGCTTCCAGTTCCCGCGCGGGTTACAGAGCCTTGAGCGGTAGGCTGCAGACGCATTTAGAGGGGCTCGAGGAGAGGAGGCCTTGCGTGGTGAGAGTTTAGCACAGGTTTATAAAGAGCAAAGGAGGAAGACATGAGCGAACAGTACAGATGTGGGAGCAGAGACACTCAGACCTGGAGGGTTGGACATGGCTCTACCCTTTCCGAGCAGAGGGTTAGGAAAATGGAGGAGAAAGGAAGGAAATGGGCTGGACTGGATCCTCCTCAGGTGAGGCCTGTTTACGGAGATAGCCCAGCAAGGAGGCAGGCTTCCCGCTTCCCACCACGGGCTTGGAGACTATGCAAAGACTGGGCTAGGAGTTGGGTGTTTATCCCCGTCTGAGCAAGGAGACAGGGGTCACAGGAGTTTAGAATAAAGCGGGAAGGTGGCTGCAGGTGCAGGCAGAGAATAGGTTAAGTATTCCCTTATCCAGGGCCTCAAGCTTTTTTAATGTTCAAACAGCTCTGTCTGGCCTGGATGGTTTGACCTTGGCAGGATACAGTTCTGTCTTCCAAGCTCTTAACCCTTTCCTGGCCTCCCAGCCAGGGTCTTTCAGGCCAGGCCCACCACCAGGCCCTGTGTCGGGCAACCTGCGCCTGTCTTTGGTGGCTTTCCTGACGTCTGTGTGCACCTGGGAACACAGCGTGGGGTCAACCTGTCATAGTCCATCTTTGGATGCCCAGAACAGGCCGAGAGCGGGGGGGGGGGGCAGGCCCTTCGAGGAGGAATGCCACCCCAATTATTCCGCAGTGTGTCAGCCCAAATCTGCCCAAGATTTGTCTCGTTACTATCCCAAAGCAAGGAGATGTGACCTAGGTTTATCCAAAACACAGCATCAATAGATGTGAGTTCCAGGATGTGCCCTTGGCCGATCCTTTGTGGGTTTGGGGGGGTAGTTGGGAGGGAGGGGAGGGAAGAGGCGGAGCACGAGCTCTGCTCTACCCTAATCCAGAATCTTAACATCTGAAAGGGGAGGGAGGTGCGAGGGAAGCCTGGGCTCCCATCTTTCAGCCTTCACATCCTGGTTGTGTTTTTAACATTTCTTATTGGTCTCGATTTCCTGTCAGCTCTCCCTCCCCGCCCCCTGAGTGCAGGAGGGCCAGCGTTGTGCCTGACCCCACCCAGTCCCATGGGAGGGTGGGGGAGATGCCAACCAACCTGAAAATCAGATGCCTGGCTGAGGGCAGCACTGTGTGTGAGTCACAAAACTCCTCCCGCAAGGACCCAGGAATGCTAGCCCGGAAACCCAAACAGATGGAGGCCTGGCCGCAGTCCAGAAGTCCTGGGGAGAAGACCTTCTGGTGCTCCAGCCCTGTGACCTCTACAGGACAAAGGTCACACCCACAGACAGCTGCCCAGACCGGAGAAGGCCATCCTCCCGGATGGCTGAGGGCCAGCGCCTAGAGCCATGAGGCAGGAGACCCCTCCCGTGCCGGGGGAAGCGAATCTGGACGGTCCTTTTGTCCAGCGTGTCTGTGTCCTCCAGGCCCTGGAGTAGCAGCACATCCATGTGGATCCACCTGGAGAAGCTTTGAGACGGCATCCGGCCCCCACCCCTGCGGAGCACGTGTGGGGAACCCCTGGGTGGCACAGGCTGGCCGTGGGCCAGGAGCTACCCCTCAGCATCCCCACAACTGCAGATGCAGATAACGCCACAGGCCCATCCCAGCAAGCCAGCAAAGATAAGCGCAGACTGCCTGACCCAGCAGGGCCATTGGCCTCAGCCTGGCTGTAAACTTGCCACCATGGCCCCAATGGAAAAGCGCCGCCTCCCTTGGCCTGGTGGCTTTTTCATTCACCGCTGCTGCCTTGCTCAGACCCCAGAAAACCCACTCCTGTCCCAGCTCAACTCACAGACCTCGGGAAGGCTGTGTCCCTCGCTGCTACTTCAGTGCAGTCCTCTCCTGTGGAAGATCGAGTCCAGCCTGTCTCCATCCTTTCTCCTCCATTTTCCTAACAGGCCTGGGCCCAAGTCACACCATTGACCGCTGGCTTTCCTGTGTCACCTGCTCTGCCAGCATGGCTGGGTGCAGATGCCCGTGGTCATGGGCAAAACCCTGGCATGGCGTGGCTCCATTGGGATCTTCTAGGTGGAGGATTCTGAAGAAGTCTCAAAACTGTCGTTTCCAGCTCCAGGCCAAAAACTCCATGAATTCCACATATCAAGGCATCTATCTATCAACATGCCAAATTCTAGCCGGGGCTGGTGGCTCACACCTGTAATCCTTGCTACTCAGGAGGCTGAGATCTGAGGATTGAAGTTAAACAACAGCCAGGGCAGGAAAGTCTGTGAGACTCTTTCCAGTTAACCACAATTAAACCAGAAGTGGAGCTGTGGCTTAAGTGGCAGAGTGCTAGCCTTGAGCAGAAAAAGCTCAGGGATAGCACCCAGGCTCTGAGTTCAAGTTCCAACCAAAACAAAACTAAAAAACTTGAGAATGGAGAAAGGCAGAGAAAGGAGGTCTGATGATTGCATCACAGGAAGCCATGAAAGAGGCAAGGTAAGCACTTCAGCCCACTTTAGGTACAGTCCTGCACATTAGGTTAGAGGAAGACTTAGGGCACGGGTGAAACGTATGCATAATTACTAGGCCACCCTGATCCAAGTGTGGCCGGGCTGACCATCACAGGGGAGTTCCTGAGACGTTATCCATGTTATCATTTCTTGGGGAGCAGTCTGTCAGAAGCCTGCCATGGCTGCCCGGGGTACAGTCTATCTTGAGTAGGCCCTGCTGTGCCTCTCCTCGGGAAGTTTCTTCTGACCCTCACTGGAAAGATCTTATCACCTGTCCTGTCCTTCCTGGATTCCCAGGCAGCAGCTGAGGGGATGACCCAGAGCACAGACAGACGCACAAGTCAGTCCTCCCCTGGCTCCCAGCTGATTGGTGAGGAGCCCGGGCTTCCGCAAACAAGGTCAGTAAGTTCTTCCTACGGTCTGGCGCAGGCTGGACGTGCAGAATCCCAAAGACCTCCCTGAAGGGGCTCAGGATCCAAGCCAGAGAATCCTGTTCTGAACGGGGCAGCCATGGTCCCCTCCGCAGTCACTGCCGGGCACTGCCACGGGCCAGCCGTGGTTCTAGATTGCTAACAGGAAGACAGCAGGAGGGGAATGCCCCAACGGAACCTGTGTGCCCCTTTGGGGAAACTCACCGGTCTTCCCCAGTAAGGGCCAGCAGAGCGCTGGCGCGATCCCAGTGCGGGATGAGGAGTGGGAATGGTCTCCCCGCTGGAGGACAGAGTGAAGCCATGAAGCCGGGACCCCATGCAGCAGGGGCCCGGCCACTGCCCGTCCCCCGGGCCAACTACAGAACACCATTCCACAAATATCACCACGCTGCGGCCCAGACACCTTACAACACACACAGAGCCCCCGCGTTCATAGGCCCCAGGGGATGAACCCCTGGAACCCTGCCAAGTTGATCTATCCCATGATTCTGCAAGAGGGAGTCTCCGGAGACCAGGCAAGGAGATGGCCCACCCCAAGCTCTGAAGACACATCACATACCATCCCCCCAACCACACACACCCACACACTACACCACGCACAACCACATACCACACACATCTCACAACCACACACACCTCGCATGTGCAGAGTGCGCCCCAATGACCCCCAGCCTCGGAGAAACTTCAGAGTATCTCGGCCCCAGCCCTACCCTAGACCCCCTCACTCTCCATCCTGCCTCCCTGCCCTCCCTCCTCCCCTCCCCCTACCCCCTCTTTGCTGTCACCCAGAAAGACTCCACAGAAATGTGCTAGAGAGGTGTGACTGTCAGAAAAAGGTGGCAGAAACTCAGCAGCCCACTGTTCCCCGGGAGGCCCTGGCAGAAGGAGGGGAGGGGTGAGGTGGGTAGGGAGTGACAAAGAGCCCTCCAAAGTGGAGGGGCCAGTCCACCAAGGCAGGGCTGGGGGGGAGGGGCAGGGCCCCAGCACCAGGTGCTCTGTGAATGCCTGCTGGATGAATGGCGCCGCCGGATGGCTCACACCTGTCACCCTAGCTACAGAAGGCTGAGGCCTGAGGATCCCAGCCAACCTGGGTGGACAAGTTCAGAGACTTATCTTTACTCAACCCGTGGCTCTGGTGTCAGAGTGCTAGCCTTGAGCAGAAAAGGTTAAAGAACCCCAGTCACTGGGGTCCAGACCCAGCACTTACAGATAGACAGACAGACAAGACAGACAGACACACACACACATACACACACGAGGTGGGGGGAAGGGAGGGACAGGGAGAGCTCTGCAGGCATTTGGAGGCAGATAGGGCGCGAAGGACGCTCCTGAGAGGTCAGGAGAAGGGCTGAGACTTCATTTTCTCAGGTCCTGAGCACCTGTGTGGCCGGGGGTGCGGGGCGGGTTGCCTGGCCCCTGTGGCTGCCAGCAGGGGCACAAGCTCCCTGGGCTGTCTTTGTCCTCTCTAGGGGTCCTGGCCCATGTGGGGGGGTGTACAGGAGGCATCCCTGTGACCCAGGGAGGAGGAGGATGGACTAGCTCTGCCAGACCAGTCCCACAGAACCAGGATACCACCTCCATGCCCCCGCCCTGTGCGCCTCGCACCCAGCCCTGAGAAGGCGGAGAAACAGCTCCGCCCGGAGGCAGGCCCTGGGGCAGGCGCAGAGGAGGGCCTGGGGGCTCCCCGGCCGCCCTGCCCGGTGCCGGCACACGGGAGGACACGGGGGCATGGTCCAGCACCCTGGCCACCGGGTCAGCACCACCAGGCCCGGTCAGCACCACCAGGCCTGCCCAGCAAGAGGACGGGATGGGCCGCGGGAGCGCGGGGCAGCGCGGGGACAAGGCCTGGCTGGACTCAGGTGCACCCTTGCGGGGAATCTGGGCGGCCTCAGCGCCTTGCCAGGGTCGCTTGGCCGCCGCGGAGCTCCAGATCCTGGCGCAAGTCCAGGGACCCCAACCGACCGGCAGGGCGG